TTATAATGGCACTATATTGGTAGATTACAATTAATGCTGACCTAAGAGAAGTATGGGTCCGCCCAAAAAAAAATGATACTCATCTAGGTGGATTCAGTGGATCCCGACTGTTAAGTCCGGATCAAAGTAGCACCCTGATGGGCTAAGTGACGTCAGCTGACTTTAGCCCACTGGTGGCTGATGACTGCACTCCTGTGATCCATAGGAGACAAAGCTTTTAACCCCTTCCCGTCTGGCCCATGTACATAAATGGCCGGACGGGAGCAGTGCAGGGGTGGGTGGCCATTTATAAACATCCTCCCACATTCACTGCCTGTGTGCGCTCCCTGGAAGCACGCTGCACCGCGATCTGGTGCCTGCTGCTGTGTCCGGAGGACATCGATTGAAGTGAGGTCCTGATCATGTGATCCCTGATTGGCCAATCAGTGATCACATGAATAGTAGTAAACTGTCACTTGCTGACATCATTGCTTACTACTTGTGAAATCTGTGAATGATCACAGAGATCACATAGTACAGGGCCATTCACAACTGCCTTGTACCATATGACAAGCTGTGACCAATCACAGCACTCACTTGATTTCTCAATAGCTGCAAGAATGCAGCCAGAGAGAAGGAGAAAAATGATTCCTCTTACAGCCTTTATGGGTCTAAGAGCAATCAGTGTAAAAAAAAAAAAAATATCATCATTCCCCACAAGTAGTACAGTGTCACTATGGTGACGGTATGTAAAAAACAAAACAAAAAACAAATATTAAAAAAAAAAAAAAATGTAAAAAAAAAAAAAAATTTTGAAAAATTATAATTTTTTGGTCATAAACGAATTTGGGTTATTTTTTTTTTTAACTAAAAAGATAACTGAATAAATTTTGGCCAAGATTTATGTAGAAAGATTATTTATTTGCAAAATGTTATAAGAAAAACTTTTTTCAAAAATGTTTGGACTATTTAAAAAAAAAAAAAAATCCCAGCGGTGAATAAATACCACCAAAATAAAGTTTTATATGTCTAAAAAAAAAATGTCATATGGGTGCAGTGTTGCATGACCGCGCAATTGTCATTCAAAGTGTGAAAGCGCTGAAAGCTGAAAACTGGCCTGGACTGGAAGGGGGGGAAGTGTCCGGACTGGAAGGGGGGGAAGTGTCCGGACTGAAAGGGGGGGAAGTGTCCGGACTGGAAGGGGGGGGGGAAGTGTCCGGACTGGAAGGGGGAGAGAAAGTGTCCGGACTGGAAGGGGGGTGAAAGTGTCCGGACTGGAAGGGGGGGAAGTGTCCGGACTGGAAGGGGGGGAAGTGTCCGGACTGGAAGGGGGAGAAAGTGTCCGGACTGGAAGAGGGTGAAAGTGTCCGGACTGGAAGGGGGAAGTGTCCGGACTGGAAGGGGGGGAAGTGTCCGGACTGGAAGAGGGGGAAGTGTCCGGACTGGAAGGGGAGAAAGTGTCCGGACTGGAAGAGGGTGAAAGTGTCCGGACTGGAAGGGGGGGAAAGTGTCCGGACTGGAAGAGGGGGAAGTGTCCGGACTGGAAGGGGGGGAAAGTGTCCGGACTGGAAGGGGGGGAAAGTGTCCGGACTGGAAGGGGGTGAAAGTGTCCGGACTGGAAGAGGGGGAAGTGTCCGGACTGGAAGGGGGGGAAAGTGTCCGGACTGGAAGGGGGGGAAGTGTCCGGACTGGACTGGAAGGGGGTGAAAGTGTCCGGACTGGAAGAGGGGGAAGTGTCCGGACTGGAAGGGGGTGAAAGTGTCCGGACTGGAAGGGGGGAAAGTGTCCGGACTGGAAGGGGGAGAAAGTGTCCGGACTGGAAGGGGGGAAAGTGTCAGGTGACTGTATTTTTATTTGCTCAGATTTCTTTGGAAGAAAATCCCCTGCATGGGGCATAGATGTGTATGAGAAATTTCTGTTTATTAAATAAAAGTGGACTGCCATGCCCTAAAAATACAGTTTTGGACTGGTGCAACTCACTGAAAAATGCACTTACTGCTTGAATTTATCTTCTACGTGACGGCCGCACGCAAATGTGCGGCCTCCCGGCATCTGGGCCTTGATGCTGAGCTGCTGCACATTTGCGTGCAATTAAGAAAAACATATGTGCCGAGAGCGTGTGCCCTACACGCTCCCAGCACACGTGTCCGGTACTCACGGAAAGGGCCCGATCTCCTGGACCTTTCCAGATCATGTGACCACTGTGACAGCAAAAGTTTTACCCCGCCCTGCCTCCAGAAACCCTTAAAGGGCCGCCGCTAAACTGTCAAGGATCCGTCAAACGATCACCCTGTCACGTGTCCACCACACGCCACGCCCACAGCGACTAGCTAACTGAGACGCACGCGTGCGGCGTCCGTGACAGGGTGGTAAAGAGGGGATAATAAAGGGATTTACACTTAAATATCTCAAAACCGTATATAAGATCAGCCATGATACCTTTTCACAGACCGCCCGCACTACCTCTGGCCACCACCAGATGGAGACTCCACTCCAATCCAGCTGGTTCACCACACACTGGCAGATACGATCTTACACACAACCTGGTGCCCTGATTAGAGTTGAGGACCAGCTTAGTAATCACACCCTTCTAAAAGGTCCCTTCAGCTATCCTAGCTTGAACCCCGGTGTTGATAACCCTTCCACTGTCCACATTCCCCCACACCAGACGCACCACAAAGGTAGCCTGCCACCACCCAACAGTTTATCCGCAGAACGGTCTGTTGAGACACCACACACACACAGATCTCCGTTCTGGCAGATCTGTTACCTTTGCAATCTGCGTGCAATCTGCCCACTCACAGTGCAGTTGCATACAGATTGGCAATGAGCTTAACCGAGCGTTTTAAAAGGCACTAAAATACAATACAATATAACCCAATCTAATCTCTCCGATCTCGTCTCTCCGAAGATATGAGCACGTGCTTAAATACACAGAAGTTCACTAATTAATTTTAAGATTTAATTTCCAAAGTGGGCGGGGCATAAAATATGTACAAAAGATAAAAGGTTACAGCAAATACAAAGATATAAGAAGACACACAAATGACTAATTACTATAAAATAAAAAGGGAATAAAAAGACAGAATAACACTTTACCCTGCGGCTGGAGCAAGCCAGAAACTTAGCAATCCATTGGTCAATCGAACCAGCTCCGTACGGATCACACATGTCCAAATGTCCGTGTACCCAATTTATTGGGATTAGGAGATGGGCGGGACATTAGTCTTCGGCCAATTGACTCTGGGGGAGGGTGGTCCTGACCTGCCCAAAGAGGTACTGTATCTGGACTGCCCAAGTTTCAATTGGGCCAAGACTGGCCTGAACACCAAGTCGGGGATTGGATTTCTGACACCAGCATGTCAGCCCGATCGCAACAGTACCAAAACACCATCGGACTGTCGCACCCCCGCGTCATCTAATCATTCCATACATTTCCCTGGCTTCCTCCCCAAGCCACAAATATGATTTTCATATGTAAATGCAGCGCACAGAATGGCCTACAAGAAGGGAGCATGTTCATATCTCTGCAACTAATATTTTGGCTTTTATAAGAGATGAAACCGACTTCTTTTATGTGAATATTACCTATAGAGCTTTCCACATAAGGCAGACAGTCTGTCTGCTGTCACTGGTTTTCCAGAAGGTGATAACGTGATTGACACACAAAAAGGTGTCACCTCCAGGAGGCGGGGCTTTAGACTAATTAATGCTAAATGATGATTGGGTCTGTAAGGCCTATGGAGTAATTGTGTATACATACACATCTGATCCCAGACATTTGTTTGTACCTTCTATTCATTTCCCTACTGCCCAGGGGCTCAATGTACATCCTAATTACCAGACTGTTCCTGCACACACACCTTTGTAATGAAAGGGCCTGACATAATCTAATCTACTCACCCTGTCATGGCTATGATTCCATATTTCCACTCAAATCTTACATGTCCGTTACAATAAATTTTACATGTCCGTTACATCTCCCCTCTTCCAGATGACGCATAGCTGAGCCTAAACGGGTTGGCTAACGCGTCTACATGGAAGGTTCCCTAGGTTGGGGGGGGAAGTTCTCCCAACTAAAGTTTGACACCACTGACAGCTCAGCCCATCCCCTTGCCGATGGGGAAGGGCTTCTGCCCAGCTCTCTGACTGATCCCAAAGGGTTTGGGTCACCACTGGCCAGCAGATCCCCTCGCGGATCCATTTCATCTGCTGGCCACCGACTATCGACTGAGACGGGTACTGGCAAACCTGTCATTGTGCGCTGTCAACATTTCCAGCCACTGGCCAGGGTCATCTGGTGGTTCGCCATTGGCTGCGACACCAGATGCCTGAGCCTGACATAAGGTTGTTCCTGGGTGATCTGGACTGGTTCCATGGCTTGGATACCAGAACCTCCACCCTTGGACCTGTCTCCCACACTTCTGCTCTTTCTGCCTCAGCCAGAGACCGGTCAGCATAACCCCTGAGTTCCTCCGGGCTGACATCAAACCTATCAGCCTGCGAGAATACAGTGTTGTCAGCTCCAGCCTCTGAGAAAGCAGATTCAGAGGGGGTCAGTGTTCCCCCATCATCCTGTGATCCTTCCCTTGCTGTGCACAGCAATGAGTCCTCAATCATGATACTCATAGCTGTGGGGACAAAGGATAAATCCACAGAAGACTTTACTCCACCACGGGTCATCCTCTGACCCGTGTCACACCCTTCTACTCTGTCCTCCTCAGCAGAACATCTGTCAGCACCACACCTGAGCTCCTCCGGGCCAACCTCAAACCTATCAGCCTGGAAGGACTCAGTGATGTCAGCTGCAGCGGAAGACACTGATTGGGCTGAAATTGCCCCAACATCCTGCAGACTGCCCTCTGCAACACACAGAAATGAGTCTGCACTGGCAGCACCACCCGCGACTGTGGTGACAGAGGGGAAGGTTACAGGAGGAAGGATTCCACCAGGGTTATCCTCTGACCCACGTCACTCACTTCTACTCCGTCCTCAGCAGAGCGTCTGTCAGCACCCATGAGTTCCTCTGGGCTGGCATCAGATGTAACAGCCTCTGGAAACTCAGTGCTGTCAGCCACAGCTACTGAGGGGGTAGAGTCAGAATGAATCAGACTTAAACCCTCACCCTGTGGTCCCTCCTCTGTGTTCCACAGCCCAGGATCCAAAATGGCATTAATGGTATCTGTGGTGTCAGGGGAGCAGACAACAGAGAACTTCATCCCACAAGGGGCGAGGGGCACACAACACTGGTCTACTGAAACCCAATGTGCCTTTTCCCCGGGGACTTCAGAAGAACATCCTGTTGCTTTACATAGGGGTAAACAATCAAAATCCTTTTGCCCCATGCACCCCCATCCTGCTAACCACCGCTGGCGGTCCTTCAGCCAGACCCCTGAGATCCTCTGGGCTGCCATCAATTCTCACAGCTCCAGGGGACTCAGAGCTATCTGCTACAGGTGCCAGGTGGACAACAGTCTGAGGAGACCATAGGCCCTCTGGGCCATGTTCACAAGGGTCCAACCCAGCTAGATTGGGCCCTTCCACAGACAGTCCCTCTGTAGCAGTGGGCAATGACTGGTCCGGGGCCACCTGGTGGGCACCCCGAGTCACCACTGCAGCAGAGGGAAGGTCTGCCTTGCACACATGTCATTACACTCATCATCATCACATAAAAACATTATCAGTTGCAGAGTCCTCTGTGATTTTAAACTCTTCTCCAGGCCTTGACTCCAGACATCCACTAGAGCCAGGCCCCTGGTACACAGTTCTTCACACCCTGACCCTCCCCAGAATCCCCAGTGTTCATGGAGTCTTCAATCAGTCTTTTTACATGAGTCCAGGACCTCAGGTGGTGAGGTAGGTTCTAGGGGTGCTTGATATGGCTCGTAATGGCTACCAACTGTCCCAGGTCAGTACCCAATAATACTACTCGTGGGGAATGGCATCTGTTACACCCACTTTTCTCATTCCTCTCCCAGCTCCCCAGTCTAAATAAACACAGGCCGTGGGGACAGCTGGGTTGATGCCCCCAACCCCCCTTACAGTCATGGTCTTACCAGGAATAAGATCCCCAGGGCTCCCAGTTCTGGATGCACTAAAGTCACCTCCGCTCCGCTGTCCCTCAGGCCGGTAGTAACTTTGCCACCCACAGTGACAGGCTGTAGGTTATCAGAGTGCCCTCTTGCATCCCTGGAAACACACAAAACCGTAGACTCTGGGCCAGGTATCCTGGTAGTTTGTGGGGCAGCCTTCTTTTTCTCAGGGCAGGATGCACTAAGATGACCTATCTGGTGGCACAAAAAACATCTCCGGGTATCCACAGTTGTTGGGGCGGCTCCTAAAGGTCTGGATGCCTTGGTCTTCTGGATGTCCGGAGAAGAGGGGCCGGTTGCCCTTCCTCCCTTCCAGCTGGGTTCAGTAGTCCTCCGGGTGACAGGCATTCTGTTAACCGCATAGGAGTCAGCTATTTCTGCTGCTTGATCCACTGTCTTGGGATCTCGGTCCAGTGCAAACTGCCTGACCTCAAAAGGACATGTTTGTAGGAACTGGTCCTTAATCATTAGTTCCCGTAGGGCGTCAAAGGTGCTTACGGACAGTCCCTTTAGCCATTGCTGGGAAGCAGTGCGCTGACTGCAGACGAGGTCCATGTATCTGTCATTAGGACCTCGATGCAATGTCCTGAAACGCTTGCGGTACACCACTGGCATGAGCTGGTACCGTTTAACAATGGCCTGTTTAAGAGTCTCATAGTCCCTTTCTTGGCCCTCCGGAAGACTCAGAAGCACATCCAGGGTCTTGCCTTTCAGCCCTGGATGAGGTACTGTGCCCATTGCTCCTTGGGCAGGAGGTATTGACGACAAGTCCTCTCAAACCCTTGTAAAAAAGTGTCCATATCCCCATCCACGTCCATGGTGGGGAATTTGTCCAGGGGAACTCTGTGTATCCGTTCTTCCCTGGACTCAGTGTTACCAGCAGACCTTTTCTGCTGCAGCCGGAGTTTATTAGCTCCAGTTCATGTCGCCATTGTGCTTTCCGATCTTTCCGTCTGTCCTCTCGCTCTGCCCGCCTGTCCTCTCGCTCTTCTTCCCGGCGCTCCAAAATGAACTTGAAGCGTAATGCTTCACTGACTGGGCCCAGCAGCTGTAGATCATCCCGCAGGGACAACGAATGGGCTTCCAGTTGGCCCTCTCGGATGTCACCACGATCCACATCCGGTGACGGGAGAAAGCGACTGTTCCACATCCTGTGGCTCCACATCCAAGTTTCGCTCCTCCCCGTCTTTCTCGACCAGGGCATGTATCATCTGCTCCTTTGTCTGGTCCCTTGTGGTTGGGATACCTCTGAACTCGCACAGATTCATCAGGTCATCTCGACTTTGCTTCTCGTAGCTGATTACTGTCTCAGCCATTTTGCCAAATTAAAAGATAGAAAAGAAAAACAAAGAAGGGGGGGGGGAAGCAAAAAGCCAAGTATGTCTTCTACAAAACAAAAATTATGCACTGAGTGAGCTTCTGTAGGTCAGTCACTTCTACCGAGCTTCCAACCTTTAGTACACGGGTTAAATGAATAAACCATGCACTAATGTTACTTAGCAGATCCCACACGCTGCCGCCAACTGTCAAGGATCCGTTAACGATCACCCTGTCACGTGTCCACCACACGCCACGCCCACAACGACTAGCTAACCGTGACGCACGCGTGCGGCCGCGACAGGGTGGTAAAGAGGGGATAATAAGGGGATTTACACTTAAATATTTCAAACCGTATATAAGATCAGCCGTGATACCTTTTCACAGCCCGCACTACCTCTGGCCAGCACCAGATGGAGACTCCACTCCAATCCAGCTGGTCGACCACACACTGGCAGATACAATCTTACATACAACCTGGTGCCCTGATTAGAGTTGAGGACCAGCTTAGTAATCACACACCCTTCTAAGGTCCCTTCAGCTATCCTAGCTTGAACCCCGGTGTTGATAACCCTTCCACTGTCCACACACCCCCACACCAGATGCACCACAAAGGTAGCCTGCCACCACCCAACAGTTTATCCGCAGAACGGTCTGTTGGGACACACACACACACACAGATCTCCGTCTGGCAGATCTGTTACCTTTGCAATCTGCGTGCAATCTGCCCACTCACAGTGCAGTTGCATACAGATTGGCAATGAGCTTAACGAGCGTTTTAAAGGCACTAAAATACAATATGATATAACCCAATCTAATCTCTCCAATCTCGTCTCTCCGAAGATATGAGCACGAGCTTAAATACACAGAAGTTCACTAATTAATTTTAAGATTTAATTTAAAAAGTGGGCGGTTCATAAAATATGTACAAAAGATAAAAAGTTACAGAAAATACAAAAGATATAAGAAGACACACAAATGACTAATTACTATAAAATAAAAGGGAATAAAAAGACAGAATAAACACTTTACCCTGCGGCTGGAGCAAGCCAGAAACATAGCAATCCATTGGTCAATCGAACCAGCTCCGTACGGATCACAAATGTCCAAATGTCCGTGCGTTCAATTTATTGCGATTTGGACATGGGGGCGGGACATTAGTCTTCGGCCAATTGACTCTGGGGGAGGTGGTCCTGACCTGCCCACCAGGTACTGTGTATGGACCTGCCCAAGTTTAATTGGGCCAAGACTGGCCTGAACACCAAGTTGGGGATTGGATTTCTGACACCAGCGCGTCAGCCTGATCGCAACAGTACCAAACACCATCGGACTGTCGCACCCCGCGTCATCTAATCATTCCATGCATTTTCCTGGCTTCCTCCCCAAGCCACAAATATGATTTTCATATGTAAATGCAGCGTACAGAATGGTCTGCACAAAGGAAGCTTGTTCATATCTCTCCAACTAATATTTTGGCTTTTATAAGAGATGAAACATACTCCTTTTATGTGAATATTACCTATAGAGCTTTCCACATAAGGCAGACAGTCTGTCTGCTGTCACTGGTTTTCCCAGAAGGTGATAACCTGATTGACACACAAAAGGTGTCACCTCCAGGAGGCGGGGCTTTAGACTAATTGATGCTAAATGATGATTGGGTCTGGAAGGCTATGGAGTAATTGTGTATACATACACATCTGATCCCAGACATTTGTTTTGTACCTTCTATTCATTTCCCTACTGCCCAGGGGCTCAATGTACATCCTTAATGACCAGACTGTTCCTGCACACACCTTTGCAATGAAAGGGCCTGACATAATCTAATCTACTCACCATGTCATGGCTATGATTCCATATTTCCACTCAAATCTTACATGTCCTTTACAATAAATTTTACATGTCCGTTACATCTCCCCTCTTCCAGATGACGCATAGCTGAGCCTAAACGGGGTCGGCTAACGCGTCTACATGGAAGGTTCCCTAGGTTGCTCGGGGGGGGGAAGTTCTCCCAACTAAAGTTTGACATCGCTGACAGCTCAGCCCATCCCCCTGCCAATGGGGAAGGGCTTCTGCCCAGCTCTCTGACTGATTCCCAAAGGGTTTGGGTCACCACTGGCCAGCAGATCCCCCCGCGGATCCATTTCATCTGCTGGCCCACCGACTATCGACTGGACGGGTACTGGCAAACCTGTCATTGTGCGCTGTCAACATTTTCAGCCACTGGCCAGGGTCATCTGGTGGTTCGCCATTGGCTGCGACACCCAGATGCCTGAGCCTGACATAAGGTTGTTCCTGGGTGATCTGGACCTGGTTCCATGGCTTGGATACCAGAACCTCCACCCTTGGACCTGTCTCCCACACTTCTGCTCTTTCTGCCTCAGCCAGAGACCGGTCAGCATAACCCCTGAGTTCCTCCGGGCTGACATCAAACCTATCAGCCAGCAAGAATACAGGGTTGTCAGCTCCAACCTCTGAGAAAGCAGATTCAGAGGGGGTCAGTGTTCTCCATCATCCTGTGATCCTTCCCTTGCTGTGCACAGCAATGAGTCCTCAATCATGATACTCATAGCTGTGGGGACAAAGGATAAATCCACAGAAGACTTTATTCACCACGGGTCATCCTCTGACCCGTGTCACACCCTTCTACTCTGTCCTCCTCAGCAGAACATCTGTCAGCACCACCCCTGAGCTCCTCCAGGCCAACCTCAAACCTATCAGCCTGGAAGGACTCAGTGATGTCAGCTGCAACTGCTGAGGTGGAAGACACAGATTGGGCTGAATTTGCCCCAACATCCTGCAGACTTCCCTCTGCAAACACACACAGAAATGAGTCTGCACTGGCAGCACCCCCGCGACTGTGGTGACAGAGGGGAAGGTTACAGGAGGAAAAATTCCACTAGGGGTTGTCCTCTGACCCACGTCACTCACACTTCTACTCCGTCCTCAGCAGAGCGTCTGTCAGCACCCATGAGTTCCTCTGGGCTGGCATCAGATGTAACAGCCTCTGGAAACTCAGTGCTGTCAGCCACAGCTACTGAGGGGGTAGAGTCAGAATGAATCAGACTTAAACCCTCACTCTGTGGTCCCTCCTCTGTGCTCCACAGTCCAGGATCCAAAATGGCATTACTGGTATCTGTGGTGTCAGGGGAGCAGACAACAGAGAACTTTATCCCACAAGGGGCGCGGGGCACACAACACTGGTCTACTGAAACCCAATGTGCCTTTTCCCCGGGGACTTCAGAAGAACATCCTGTTGCTTTACATTAGGGATACAAAACCAAATTCCTTTTGCCCATGCACCTCCATCCTGCTAACCACCGCTGGCGGTCCTTCAGCCAGACCCCTGAGATCCTCTGGGCTGCCATCAATTCTCACAGCTCCAGGGGACTCAGAGCTATCTGCCACAGGTGCCAGATGGACAACAGTCTGAGGAGACCTTAGGCCCTCTGGGCCAGGTTCACAAGGGTCCAACCCAGCTAGATTGGGCCCTTCCACAGACAGTCCCTCTGTAGCAGTGGGCAATGACTGGTCCGGGGCCACCTGGTGGGCACCCCGAGTCACCACAGCATCAGAGGGAAGGTCTGCCTTGCACATGTCATTACACTCATCATCACATAAAACATTATCAATTGCAGAGTCCTCTGTGATTTTAAACTCTTCTCCAGGCCTTGACTCCAGACATCCACTAGAGCCAGGCCCTGGTACACAGTCCTTTAACCCCTGACCTTCCCCAGAATTCCCAGTGTGCATTGAGTCACTCAACAGTACATTACATGAATCCGAGGCCTCGGGTGGAAATTTAGACTTCAGAGGTGTTGACTTAGACTTGTTCTGGGTTACCAACCACCCCAGGTCAGTACCCAATAGTATGTTCATGGTAGCTGCTACGCCCACTTCTCTCACTTTGCTTCTGGATCCTTGGGGCAAAGCAACACAAGCTGCAGGTAGTACAGGGGTGACTCCTCCAACCCCTATGATAACTTTAGCTTTCTTTGGGACCACATCCTCATGACTCCTCCGTCCGGGAAGAGCTAGGACATCCTCGGGTCCCTTATCTCGGAGTCCAGCTGAAACATTGTTGCCTGCGGTGACTGGCTGCAGGCTCTCCACATGGCCTCCTTCATTAGTGGGATCTGCTCTGTCTACTTCTTCCAACTTGACTTCCAGACTCCTGGCTCAAAGAAACACAAGCCACAGGCACAGCAGGGATGGCTCCTCCAACCCCTGTGCCAGCCATGGCTTCCACTGAGATCACATCCTCACAGCTCCTCAATCCTGGACGAGCTAGGACATTCTCTGATCCCGTACCTTGTAGTCCAACTGTAACGCTGTTACTTGCAGTAAATGGTGGCTTATTATCTGCTCGGCCTCCTCCATTTTCTCCAACAAGAAACACAGTAGGGGGTACATTTTCCACTTTTGCTGGTGGGCTAGATATCCTCACGTTTGGACAGGGCCGTGTGTAATGTCCCACTTGGTTACAGGTAACACACTCCCAGGTCTCCACAAATGTAGGTCTGGGCCTTGTAGTTCTTGATGCAGATGGAGGTAACAATGCAGTCCCCCTGCTGGATTTGGGCCCTCTCGGCTTTGTGCCTTCTCTCAGTTTGCTCGCTCTGCTGCTGGTACTTTCTCTCAATTCGTAGTAACTCGGAAATGAGCTGAAACTGCAACTCGAGGTTATCACTTGCCAAAAGCTGTAGATTTATTCCCAGAGAAAGATCCTCTGATTTCTTGTACCGAGAGGGTTTTGAGAACAGAGTCACACTGATTTTCGCAGTCATCTGGAGTGGCACAGTTGCAGGGTTCCACCGACTTGCTGCGCCGTTCTAACTCCATCTCTATCAAAGCACCTAGGAGCTGGTACCTCGTCTTGCCAACTGTATTGATGTCCTTTAGATCACAAAGGTCAATCACAGCTTCATCGGATTGTCTCAGGTACCAGCGTATTACTACTTTATCTTCCTGGGTTACCATCTTCACGTTTTGCCAAAATATAAGATAGAAAAGAAAAACAAAGAAGGGGGGGGAGCAAATAGCCAAGTATGTCTTCTACAAAACAATTATGCACTGAGTGAGCTTCTGTAGGTCAGTCACTTCTACCGAGCTTCCAACCTTCAGTACACGGGGTACATGAATAAACCACTAATGTACTAAGCAGATCCCACCGCTGCCACCAACTGTCAAGGATTCGTTAAACGATCACCCTGTCACGTGTCCCCCACACGCCACGCCCACAGCGACTAGCTAACTGTGACGCACGCGTGCGGCCGTGACAGGGTGGTAAAGAGGGGATAAGAAAGGGATTTACACTTAAATATCTCAAACCGTATATAAGATCAGCCGTGATACCTTTTCACAGCCCGCACTACCTCTGGCCACCACCGGATGGAGACTCCACTCCAATCCAGCTGGTCGACCACACACTGGCAGATACGATCTTACATACAACCTGGTGCCCTGATTAGAGTTGAGGACCAGCTTAGTAATCACACCCCCTTCTAAAGGTCCCTTCAGCTATCCTAGCTTGAACCCCGGTGTTGATAAACCCTTCCACTGTCCACACACCCCCACACCAGACGCACCACAAAGGTAGCCTGCCACCACCCAACAGTTTATCCGCAGAACGGTCTGCTGGACACCCCCACACACACACACAGATCTCCGTCTGGCAGATCTGTTACCTTTGCAATCTGCGTGCAATCTGCCCACTCACAGTGCAGTTGCATACAGATCGGCAATGAGCTTAACCGAGCGTTTTAAAGGCACTAAAATACAATACAATCTAGTCTCTCCGATCTAATCTCTCTGATCTAGTCTCTCAGAAGATATGAGCACGAGCTTAAATACACAGAAGTTCACTAATTATTTTTAAGATTTAATTTCCCAAAGGGGGCGGGGCATAAAATATGTACTAAATATAACAAGTTACAGAAATACAAAAGATATAAGAAGACACACAAATTACTAATTACTATAAAATAAAAAGGGAATAAAAAGACAGAATAACACTTTAACCCTGCGGCTGGAGCAAGCCAGAAACTTAGCAATCCATCGGTCGATCGAATCAGCACCGTAACGGATCACCCTGTCCAAATGTCCGTGCGTTCAATTTATTGCGATTTGGACATGGGCGGGACATTAGTCTTCGGTCAATTGACCCTGGGGGAGGTGGTCCTGACCTGCCCACAAGAGGTACTGTGTATGGACCTGCCCAAGTTCAACTGGGCCGAGACTGGCCTAAACACTAAGTCGGGGATTGGATTTCTGACACCAGCGCATCAGCCCGATCGCAACAGTACCAAACACCATCAGACTGTCGCACCCCCGCGTCATCTAATCATTCCATGCATTTCCCTGGCTTTCTCCCCAAGCCACAAATATGATTTTCATATGTAAATGCAGCGTACAGAATGGTCTGCACAAAGGAAGCTTGTTCATATCTCTGCAACTAATATTTTGGCTTTTATAAGAGATGAAACATACTCCTTTTATGTGAATATTACCTATAGAGCTTTCCACATAAGGCAGACAGTCTGTCTGCTGTCACTGGTTTTCCCAGAAGGTGATAACCTGATTGACACACAAAAGGTGTCACCTCCAGGAGGCGGGGCTTTAGACTAATTAATGCTAAATGATGATTGGGTCTGTAAGGCCTATGGAGTAATTGTGTATACATACACATCTGATCCCAGACATTTGTTTTGTACCTTCTATTCATTTCCCTACTGCCCAGGGGCTCAATGTACATCCTAATTACCAGACTGTTCCTACACACACCTTTGTAATGAAAGGGCCTGACATAATCTAATCTACTCACCCTGTCATGGCTATGATTCCATATTTCCACTCAAATCTTACATATCCTTTACAATAAATTTTACATGTCCGTTACACCCCTTTTTAAGATCACATACCCACTGTTCTCAGCTACATAAGGAGCTCAGAGGGCTAGGGGAGAACAGCAGCCAGTGAATGGCTGTGTGTGTGTGTGTGTGGGGGGGGGGCTGATTATTGGAGGAGGACACTCTGAGCTCCCAGCACAGCTAGAGAACTGACCACACTGTGTTCTCATGCTTAGTGTGGTCAGTGTTTAATAGGAAAGTAGAGGGACTGGCACAAAGGAAGCAATACAAAGGGAACAGGAGACTTTTTTACAAGTACATGGTACAGCGGGCACATATCTGGGTACTAGGTGTCATCCTAGACTCCAATCTGTGCTTCCAGCCCCAGGTCCAATCGCTGACAAACTCGTGTAGACTCCACCTCCGCAACATCTCCAAAATAGGTCCGTTCCTGACCACGGAAACCACTAAGCAACTCATTCACTCCCTCATTATATGACAGCTCGACTACTGTAACTCCCTCCTCATTGGCTTACCTCACCGCAGGCTATCCCCTCTACAATCCATCATGATGATGCTGCCAGACTCATCCACCTTACCAACCGTTCTGTATCTGCCACCCCCCTCTGCCAATCCTTCCACTGGCCTCCACTCAGTGTCCTCCACACCCTCTCTGCTAATCCCTCCACTGGCCTCCACTCAGTGTCCTCCACCCCTCTCTGCCAATCCCCTCCACTGGCCTCCACCCCTCTCTGCCAATCCCTCCACTGACCTCCACTCAGTGTCCTCCATCCCTCTCTGCCAATCCCTCCACTGGCCTCCACTCAGTGTCCTCCACCCCTCTCTGCCAATCCCTCCACTGGCTTCCACTCAGTGTCCTCCACCCCTCTCTGCCAATCCCTCCACTGGCCTCCACTCAGTGTCCTCCACCCTTCTCTACCAATCCATCCACTAACCTCCACCCCTCTCTACCAATCCCTCCACTGGCTTTCAATTGCCCAATGGATAAAATTCAAAACACTAATGTGACGGGAGCGACTTTTTGGGGGTGGGGGGACCTCTGTATCATCTCCCCAAATCATTATGTTTAACCCACCCTGTGCCTGTTTAAGGGTACAGGGTGTACATGTGAATGTCCCAGTATTGTGCATTTGTGTGTTGTCCTTTGTCTAGGCCACATGGCTGTCCATTGTTTGTTTGCCATGTGCTACTCCCCATGGTTCTGTGCCTTCCTGTCCGGCAAACTATTATGGGATGTACTGTTTGTGTATTGGTGTGGGGGTTGGTCAATGTCCTTTGCCGCATGGCTGCATCCCATTGTTCTGTGTCTTGGGTTGGTTGGGGTGGTTCCCTGTAGCCCTTCCCACTGATAGGGCGGGCTGATGATGTATTTCCTGTCCCTGGTTGTGTTTCCCCGCCCTCTGTATATATTCTGTGTTCTGTGTTAAAATAAAGAGTTGGCTTTC